GAGTGTAGAGAACCGGAGCCCCTTTTTAGCTTTTGATGCTAATTCGATGATAGATGTAGATGCCTATGGAGTAAGGACCATACCATTCACTTACCATCAGGTGATATATGCATATATATATATATATATATATATATATATATATAATATATATGTACCATCATGTGCTCATGTCTCACAGTTATTTGTTAAAAAAATGGATTTATATAAAGCCCGATAGCGCTGTATAATTTACCAATTTTATAAAGCGAGAGCGTTTTCATTATTTCAACAATTAATAACAATACATATTATGTTATATATAAATACATTTACATTTGTAACAGTCTAAAGACGAAGTATGCAGGACAAAGGGCAATAATATGAGTCGGGCACAACCGGCGCTACCGGTCTGTACAATGGCTCCAGACAAAGCCCTGGGTGCGCGAGACGATGACGGACACCTCCCACTTCATGCAGTCCGGCCAGACGCCACTTACGAATAGCTATTACACTTTTAAAATTTAGATAACACTCGTATGAAGGCTAATGAAAGAAAATTTAGTAAGTTATATTTTGGTTTAACAAGAAAAATTATTTTATTTTTAAATAGTAGGTTGTTGCATATCGAAACGACGTTGAAATAAATTTTGAATTCTATGAATATACGATTCCGATGTTTTATGCAACGTCCCAAATTTATTCCATGTCATCAGGAAACGTCCATAATAGGACGTAAATTGTAGTCTTCTCATTATGGACATATGAATGTTTTTGCAACTGCCATTGTGTCGGCATACATGCTCTTGTGTCTTGAGAAACAAAATTAAGTAAAAAAGTTGCGTCTACCATAAGTGTAGATCAACTCCGAATGCGTCGTGTTGATTGTACGCGCTGTAGCTTCGGCGCCGAGTAGTCCCGCAAGTCGAAGAGTTTGTCAAGATTTGTGATGACTTAGTTTATTGTCATCACAAATTTTTACATTAATCTACAACCATCGAAGATAGTGTAACGTTGAAACTAAATTTCAGTCCGGTGTATTAATTTATTATTTGTTATCATTTTTTTTTCTGCTTTAAGATTACTTTTTTAATCACGTTGAAACTTATTTCATTTAGTAAGTGAACAGAAAACAAATCTTAAATGGGCTATAATTCGTAAAGCACAGACAGGCGCTGCCATCACATGTTCCTCACAATCCTGTACCTCATCATTCAGCAAGCAGTTCAGGCCGCCTCATTCTCTGTCGTCTCTTATAAAACCGGGTAATGGACTGTCTTACATCGCCATTACACGGAACTTCGCATTACTTTGTGCATACTTCAAATGGTCTCGAGATATTTTATTCCTCAGACGTACAGGATTCCTCACGATTTTTTTCTTGCGATAAAAAGACGCATTGGTGCCTAAGAGGATCGAAGCGTTTAATCCCTGACCTACCATGACTCATAAGGAACATAACAAATATAAAAACGTATTTACTAAATTTCAAATTCTTGGCTTGAAGTTTGAAACTCTTAAATACAAAGTTCTGTTATTTACAAAAAAAGATATTTTGACAAGTTGTATATGGGTAATTATTTTAAAATATGTAATATGATGTAATTCATTGACGATTTAAAGATATCTATGATGTATTTACTATTTCTAGTCACATACATATTAATTTATCATAATCATTTATCATAATCCGTTGTTTCCCCAGCCACTTCGCTGTGTTTACATGTAGTTATATTTTATGTACTAGCATCATAAGGTTATAAACGTATTCCACGACATAATCAACTTCTATGAAAAATGAAAAACGTGATGAAATTTCAATACAATGCATCTAGCGTGATTGAAAAACAAAAAACCAAACACAATTACCCATTTATTATATTATCATGACCCATAGAAAGTTCAATCTTCTGCTGTTTTTTTTTTTCTAATTATAAAATGTACTCTAATATTTTTAAATATAAAGGAAATTTAGCAAACTCTAAAATAAATTTCCGTCTGTTTTAATTGCCCGTTTTAAACAACCTTTCCATATTATTAATGAGAGCGTACCTGCTTTATATCTCCCTTATCTATTGTTTACCTAAGACCGGTGGGAAGAGTTTGAGTCTAGGTCATACGTCATTATTAGTCTAGACACGAATCGGGTCAGCATCAAGATTAGCCGCTGTTCACACAGAGATATCTATGGACTGATAAAAGAGATACTACGTGATACTGGGAAATCGGAGAGTAGTAAAGATTAACTTTTAATACGACCTGATGATGCTATAATTCGTAATTTAAAACATAATAAGTAATTGATAATGTTTTAGAAACACTTCTACCAACGTCTAACATCATGGTTGATTTCATATTTAATACTGTAACAATTTAATCTAAATATATAATATATAAACACGTTTTGTTTTTCATTTGATCACATCTGAACAAATTAACATTTATTCAGTTGTGAACGGTTTAATAGGGCATTCTTAAAACGATATTAGTGACCGCGATATACGACAACTGAGTATACTTAATTTATTTGTATTAGATCCTATTTACATTAACAATAATTATTATGTTAATATAATAACATATGCTACTTGTTTCTGTGTGACGAAGCTAAATTTGAAATAACATAATATATTTTAATAGTAAAGATAGTATGTTTATATGGTATAGTACAATACAAAGTAGGTTACTTTCTAAAAATATCAAAGCCTATGTTAATTTGTAGATGTAGGTACGTTATCATATGTGAATATTGGAGCTATTTATTGAATTTATTGAACTATCTTTTACGAAATAGCCTTAAATACAAAAACCTAATAATTTTGAATTTGTATTCAAAACAATCGCCGTTTTTTTTAAACATAGAGTTAAAAAATGATGACTTTGTGGATTGGTAGTATGCACCTTTAAACATTCTCATTCTGAAATAACAAAGTAAACAAACTGTCCTGGCGCCGAGCTTTATCCGGTTTCTAATAGAAGCAAATAAAAACAAGATAGAACAGAGACGTGTTGCTTGGCGCCTGTCTTATCGCCCTGCACGTGAGCTCCTCCTTTTGCCCTTTCAATACTTTTTATTCCTAGAAAACATTCATGACGTCGTTATTAAAAAATGTTCAAATGTTTCATTGTCTCATCTTTCTGAACGGCCACCAAAGCTACGAATCCGATTTATTATGTACGAGAAAATTCGAATGGTAATTATTTCCTTTTTAATATCATTGCGTATCTTGTATTTTTATTATTCTTTGGGTGTAAAAATGAAAAAATGGTAAAATGTATGGCGATCGATTGTTTACGTAATCATATGTCTGTCAATCATTCCGATTTTGGTGCAAGTCCATTATAGTATCCTTTGCCTTGTATAGGAGCAGCGGCTTGTTTCGGAGATTTTTTTTAAATAAAATTAATGTCATTGCCTAAGTATTAAATGTCTTGTAGGTACTCAGTTATGTTTTATGTAGGTTAAACATATGCGAGAATGAAAAAAATTGAAGAATTGCGTTCCGCTGCGACATGTGTTATTAATGAAGGCTTAACAAATTGAATATTTAATGGAAAAACCTTCAGTAATTGTATAATTATCTGAATTCGTTTTTGTTTTTATAACATGGGTACACAGTTAGGTGAGAGATAAAATTATCAATCTAAAACTAGAATTATGTAACAGATATATCACTAAAAAGATAGCTCGCTTACTGTTCGGACTGGTGAAACGTTGGGAAAACTTTAAACCTAGTGTCAGAAAAATATTTTTGTTTAAATTTCTTTAAGAGTTCGTTGAAATAATTTACAAGTACTCAATAAAAAAGCTTTAAAGTATACAATTAATGTTCAACTTGAGGTACGTACGAAAATTTGAGGTCTTTCGAAAAGTGCGAAGTCATTACAATTATTATTTTGTTATTTAAAAATGAATTAATATTTATCTTACTTTTCATTATGTCTCGAGTATTTTTGAATCCTTTTATTCCATATAAATGGTTCATAACTAGCAACTATAGTAAAATGGCGGGATCTCTCACACACATTTTTTCTTTTATTTCTATTTTTTTTTAAATATTTCATCTCAAGACGTTTATAAACAAATATATAGGTGAAAGATAGTGGATAACCATTACAGCCTATTAAAGTCCACTGCTGAACATGGGATATTTGCCATTGTTGCCACGCTTAGCAAACTAGTTAGCAACCGCAATATTTTTATTTTTAGTCTTTATTAGGACGACGCTGTTGCCCATCTCCTGATTTGTTTCCCTCATCACCTCTTACGACACCCATGGGATGATATGCGGTAGTGGATATTCTCACGCCGCTACCACACGGTGTATTATAATAAATGATATTTTTACGTGGTAGAGCCATGCTGCAGCTATATTAATTATATAGTTGTAACAAGAGTGGGTCGGCTCGACCGGGGAATGACCACGCTCTCACAGAATACCAGCGTCAAATAGCAGCTTAATGCTGCTGTGTTTTGTATGGTGAGTGTAAAGAACCGGAGACCCTTTTTACTGAAAAAAGACATTCCATCTAGATGAAGATGTCTATGGCCCACAGCAACCACTTACCATCAGGTGGACTGTGTGCTCGCTTGTCACCCTTTTACTATAAAAAAAATAGAATTTAGATAAAATATTACATACACTGTATTAAATATTTACAGAAAACACCCCACCAAAACAACATATCGTGTTCAATTATTAATAACAATTACTTTTCTTTACAGGTACATTACAATGACATTGCAACAAGGCCGTGGAAGAACAATATACTCTCTATCGATATCTAACTACAAACATAAAATTTCATAACGGGCTAGAACGTTACAGTGATATTCAATTTTCACATCAGTAGCATGCCAAAACCGTAGTGTTAATAAACTAAGGACTCGGTAGTGTAAGATGTGTGCTACTGATTATCGGGTGCTTAGGAAAATGGATGTGCGGTATTCCATATTTAAACTGTTACTTTTTCTAATGTTGGTGGTTCGGTGTGGCGCGAAACATATAACAACAAACGAAATGCCCAGGGTGAAATACTTGAACGAAGACTTAGAAGATGAAGTCCAGGACAGCATAAGAAACACAATTCATACGGGTAAGTATATTTTATAAAAAATACTATTAAATAATACCCGTAAATTAAGAATATCTTACAAAACCTTATCTAAGAAAGAAATGAAAATTAGAAATTCACCCAAATATGCTGGGTATTCATCATCATTATCATAACCAACTTTAACAAATCCAATGCTGAACCTGGGAATCCTGAAAGTAACAGCTGCGCAAGAAAATCTACCATCCCATCGCATTCTGCGGGTGTATGACTGTTTCTTTTATCCTTTTCACTCTTATTTTTTTTTAATAATTTTATGTCCCATTTACATTGAAGTAATATGTACTTACGTACTAGAACAGCTATCTCAAACAAAAAATGTGCGCTACTCTGTGTTCGCGCGTTTCGTTTTTTTATCATAGAATAAACATAGGTAGAATGATCCGTAGGTAAAGGTAAAGGTAGGTAAGGTAAATTATATCGAGAACAATGTTTAAATTTTGTTATTTATTTTGTATATTATATTTGTTTATTTAATATAATATTACATAATATTATATCACAATTACATTTTAATGATATTTTTATCTGAATATTTTAAAAGGTATCAATGTCAAATATAAAAAAGACGTACTAAATGCTAGATTAGACGTACTAATTTAAATTACAAATATATTTATTTAAATTAGAATCAGAAATGCTGTAAATAATCGTTCATAAATGCTGGGCACGCGAGAGTTAAAAATGGACGAATTTATTCCACTTTGACTTTGAAGTGGAAACCTAAAAATAAAATAAAAGAGTAATAAGCAGATTTAAACATGAAAAATTTAGCCTAATTATAAAAACTTATATATGTTTCCACAAAAAAAAAATGTGTATAATAAATATATTCGTCCTATACTTAAGTACCCACAGAAACGTCCCATCTGAACATATTAATTTCATAATCTATAATCCATGATACGAGATGGCGTCTTAGGAATAATTTGTTTTATTATTAATTTATAATACTTTTTTATTGATTAAATATCTTATTAACCGATGAAAAGTAATTCCTTGGTTTTTACTGACATTTCTTGAATTATTTGTGCAATACCTAAGTACACAAGACACAACATGTGACAACTCTACAATCGCCTAGCGAGTGACTGATTAAAGTGCGGTGCATGCACCGCAGTTGAGTGGAACAGAGTAGCTGAATGCAGTGTCTCCTCTAGTACGTAGTACATAATAGCTCAATGCCCATTTATAAACTTTAAAGTTAAGATGCATATTAAAAATCATTCGGTATAAACAAAAATAATTCGTTAAATATTCATTCCGTAATCGTACACTACATTTATACTAATAAGAATCGCTTCCATTCTGAGAAGCAAAATTATTGTTTGAAGCGTGAACAATTTGAAATGACAGTTGGGTTAAAAATTTATAAAACTAACAGGCTGCGTTGTTTTGGAATGTCAGGGGTTTTGAGACGTGGATAATTGGATTCAAGTCGTGCGTGTCATTCCAGAATTGCTTTTGAAGGATAATTTTAGTCGAGCGTCTGTGGATTTAGGATGACAGGGTCGACCCTTAGTTCGTTTTAATCTTGTAACGGCATATCTATATCTATTACGGATTAAATAAATGATTAAAAATAATCAATAGCTATGATATTCTATATTTAATACAATATTTATGTACATATTTGTTTCTATAAGAAAATCTGTCATCCCATCCCATCCTGCGAGTGTATTACTTATCCTTTTTCACTCTTAAAGTTTTTTTTTAAATAATTTTATGTCCCATTTATAAACTTTAAATTAAATATGCATTATTCTGGATATTAAATATAAATAATATAATAATGCATTGCTTTGTTCCTTCCATAATTAGTATTTTTTAATCAATATACATAACACGTAATTCTTATTGAAAGTAATTTTTACTTTACAACCGGTTCGGAATACAAAGTTTTTCCTGGGAAGAACCAGCAAGAAAGCCAGCTGGACTTTTATTTATTATTTAATTAATTTGACTGCCTCACTAAAGTTTATAGACAGCTAAAATTAAGATCAACCAACTTAGTCTTTTTCTCGTGCTTATAGCGTGAGGCGAGTTCACATTTACCTACGTGCTAGTGTTTGCACAAATTGCTTCAATTGACAAAAAGAACGACATTGATAATACACAATTAAAAATATTTACGTCGCATCATTGGCCTAATTTAATTGTATTTTTATTTCTATAATGCAGCAAAACATTTAAGATTTTGCCATAGAAAACTGCTACAATTCGGTTTCTAATAAATGCCGATACCGGTGATTGATTCTGGCTAAACCTGAGCCACCTGTACTTGCGTGCTTACAATATCTTCACTCCACCTAATGGACCTAATTTTTTCTAATATTTCTTCCTTATGCTTTGTAGTTTAAATAAGTCAAAGTCACCTCATTTCCAATTGAGCTTCGTAATTCTTTCCGTCCATTGTGACGGCATTATTGCACATACATTCACTACATTGATTTATTTAAATTGTATTACCAGCTACCTGCTCTCCCTTTGCCTAGGTACTTTTATTTTATTAATTTTACGTTGTTTTTTAATCTCCAATTTTTTCTGATAAAGTACCTATAATCCATAGATCACATTAAAATAGGTTCCGAACATTCCTCGTACAGACAGACCAAAATTTTCGATGTTTTAATCTCATGCATTTCGATATTATAGACAGATACTTTAATTTTATACATATTTAAATATATAATATTACGGTTCCGTGTCGTTCCGTTCCGTTAAGTATTTGTATAGCCTATGAATAATTTTTCCGGGTCTGGATGTTTTTCTTAGTGCAATTTTAGTACGTAAACTGCTTCAACGATGCAGGAGATAATATTAGTGTGGGCGTAATGTTAAAAAATATGATATTTGAATATAGCAAGGAAAACTAATCAATATGTAAGTATGTTTTAACTAAGTCTGTTTCAATATAAAATCAGAAATTACTACTTATATTGATCCCTATAGGAATTTCTTATTCTATAGAAGTAATTTATAAAAGTGAAAATGATTATAAAAGTATTGAGGTAACCATCGTTACGCAATGCGATGTAATAAATACAATTTAAAAATAGCAGTAGCGGGCGTGACCGTAGTGTGAGCCGAGCTGAAAGCTTACATGAATTAAGCACAGAAACCAATAACCGTAAACTGTAAGTGGGGCTCTGCAAGAAACACTCGTTGAAGGACGTTCGCTACTTTTAGAGTTGGTCGTTGAACTTTAGTAGAATTTACACGATTGAGCTTACTTCAACCGTCAGTTAAGAAGATTCTTAGGGCAAGCTTCATCAATAGCCATTTCTCCTACCACAAATATCATTATAATAGTGACCCACTAAAATGATAAGGAAATCAAATGGCGCTCTATCTATCAGTTTTATCGTAATTGTACGTACTTTTGCTCAAACTTATCACAGTAAAGTGTAAAGTGTAACGATCTGAGTCGCTTATCTAACAAACTCAATATTTGCTCTTAGAATCTTATCAGTATTATGGAGACGAGATGCGAATCTTAGTTTGTGACGTCTGATGTGACGCAGCAGCTATCGGACGAGGATAAAATCTAAAAGTAAAGTAAAAGTAAAGTTACAGCCTATATACGTCCCACTGCTGGGCTCAGGCCTCCCCTCATTTCTGAGAGGGTTTAGGGCAAGGAAGTGTCCGCCGCGCTGCCCAAATGCGTGTTGACGAACTTCACATGTCTTCGAAAATATTTTTTTTCCTTATTCCTCAGACATGCAGGTTTCCTCACGATGTTTTCCTTCACCGCCGAGCACGTGGTAAATCAGCACTTAAAATTGCAATTAACAATTTCATTGGTGCCGGCGGGGATCGAACCCGGGTTACTCGCGTTCTGTTATATTTACAGCGAGCGTTAACCACTGAGCTACCACGGCTCTATAAAATCTATACTTACATATAAATAAAATTGTAATGTATGTCTGCAATATTAAAATAATTGCCTAATTGTAACCTAAGGGAGTTATTTGCATTCCATTAAAACATGAAAAACAATTTTTAAAATTTTCGTCTGGGTGTCTGTATATCTGTCCGGGCTAACCTTTGAAATGGCTGAACCGTTAATAATGCAACTTGAGAACAGATTTTTTTATAGGAGAAGGGTGACAAACGAAAAGGTACAGTCCACCTGATGGTAAGGATTGGTGTGGCCCATAGACATCTACATCTACCTTCTATTATGAATGGAAATACAAATGCGTCGTCACACATGAGGACAAAGATGGAATGCCTCCTTTCCAGTAAAACGGGTCTCCGGTTCTCTACACTCACCATATGAACCACAGCAGCGTTGAGTTGCTATTTTACGCTGGTATTCTGTGAGAGCGTGGTACTTCCCTTGTCGAGAAGACCCATTCGTGCTACAACTATACTACCAGTAATGCTGCAGTTTGGCTCTACCACGTAAAAGAGTGCAAAAAAACTAGTATTTTGGCGCTGCGTAGGGATGCTGCATCCCTTTGCGTTTTCTATCGTATCCTATATTCCAGCCGCCAAATTTCACAAACACATATCGTGTCAAAATTCACGATACCTTCCTCACCATCTGGATGCTTGGTGGTCCGACACTGTGCGTTTTACTAGGAGTTTTCTTCCTCGTACAACTTCTCTGTGGCATTGTTCACCACCGGCGACTTTTCGACGACGACCTAGGGATCTTCAAGAATAGAGCTTACGCCTTTCTAAAAAGCCGGAAACGCACCTGCAATTTGGTATTGTGGTTGTTCATGGGCGGCGGTAGTCACTTACCATCAGGTGAGCCGCATGCTCGTTTGCCCCCTCTTCTATAATTTTTTTAAAAATAGAATAAATGGTCCTTAATGATTATCATAAATCTAAATAATGGCACCTTAATAGATCCTACCAAGCAAATCCGGGAGGTTCACCAGTAGTAAACAATAAAACTAATTTTACGGATTTCATCGCCTTTATTTTAAAATACTTTACTTATTTTTAATTCCCAACAACAACAACAATTT